CACACACAAAAAAAAAAAAAAAAAAAAAAAAGTCGACCACTTTTCTCAAGGGTGTCCCTAACTCCGGGCGATGTGGTGAGTCCTTATCCATCAGTCAAATGAATCCTGGGCAGACGGTCGGGGTTCAACCTCCTAATGAGTCGGTGAAAGTCTGACGAAACAGTCTGGCACAGTCATGTTTTTTTTTAGTGTATAACTCGACTACCAGCCGGGCCGTCCGGGTCACCCTATTTGCCCGGGCGGCCCGGTCGTGCAAGGACCAGGGAAGGACCTAGCAAAAAAAAAACAAAAAATTGATAAATCCGGAAAAAAAAACTATGTCATGCAGGCGATCACGAACAAATATCGATAAAATCCGAAAAAAAAACTATGTCTTTTTAAAAATTAAATTGAACAACGTTTGCCTCAGGGTCACATCGAAATTCTATACAAAATTAAAAAAAATAAAATAAGTTCAAAAATAATTATTAATTTTTATTTTTATCTTGTTTTTGGCCCGGCCGGGCAAGTAGTCCCGAGCCACTCTGGTAGCCTAGGTGTATAGTGAATATGATAACACACAAACACTCTCTCACGCACGCGGGGCAAATGCAAGTTTCTGTTTTGTTTTTGTTTTTTTTATTGATTGATTTATTGATTGATTGATTGATTGATTTATTGATTGATTTATCGATTGATTGATTGATTGATTGATTGATTGATTGATTGATTGATTGGTAGCCCCCGCCAGCAGGGAAACGTTCGAATGTTCAAATGTTGGTGGGGGCTGCCATTCGCGCTTGGTTAGACTTCGCGAATGGCACCCCCCTCTCTTGATGATCGATCCTAGCCACCGATTTCTGCAGATCGGTAGCTAGATATGATCGACCCAAAAAAGGTCTTGGCGCGACCTACAATTTATTTTATTTTTTTCGCGGGCGTGTGTTACTGACCTTGGGGGGGCAGTCTGGACCGATTCGGCCTCTCGAGATCCCCCCAGGCGTTTTGCGTTGGGACCGCCCGGTGGCCAACCAGAAGGGACAACTGGTCAGGCCCCCTCCCCAAGCGACGTCCAGGGCCCCAGGCGCCCCGACGACCAGCCTAGTCCGATTCGATTGGATCTTCATTTCAAAATTTGAACGACAGTGTTACGACACATAGATTATTTTCATGGCTCATAACACCAATGCTTTGAGGAATGTATCTGTCCACTATGTGCGGTTGTGGTTTGCTTTTTTTTTTTTCTTCTGGTTTCATGTCGTTGTAGTGCCCTACCAGCCAGGCAGGGCATATTTCACCCGCGACACGTAACTTCTTAACGTTGTAGCATCCTGTATCCGCCCTTAATCACATCATAAGAGAATTTTTTTTTATTTTTATTTTTTTCTGTTGTTTGTCTGGTACACAACCCTCACTGAGGGCACCGTCACACGAGCACCTCACATAATATATTTGGTGGTTATTGCGGCACGAGGAATTTTTTTTTTTTTTTTTTTTTTTT